ATAACAAGACAATTGAAAGAGAAGAGGACCAGAAAGAGCCCAGCCAGAGTGGTCCAAAGAAAGAGTCAAGGCAGAGTTGACAGGCACATGAAGTACTGTATCTGAAAGAATCAAAATCAGAAAAGCCAATACCAGAGGGCTTTTGCTACAAAACCAAAACCAGAAGTGCTAGCATTAGAAGATGTGACCCTGGGGGTGATCTCAACTTCCAGTCCCAGGACCACAGTGGTCAAATCTAGCTGAGAGCGCTTATAATGGAAACTAGTCCAGTTAACAAGGCAACTATAGGAGAGGTAGTTGGTAATGCCTGGGGAGTGTACTTGACAAGATAGATAAAGCTAATTAATATATAAATATTACCTAGAGTTATTCTGCAGTTGAGGTGGCATACAAGTTAACATATAAATAAAAAATAAATAACCTAGAGTATTAAGCAACATGGTTTGGGGATGCCTTTCTGCTTCAGAACCTAGACAACTTGCCATCATTGAATAAAATATGATTTTTGCTTTGTATAAGACATGTACATATCAGTCCATCAGCTGAAGTGAAGCACATGTAGGCAGGAAATAAATCTCAAATATACAACCAAGTCTACAAGAGAACGAATGAAGAAATTAATCATTTGGAATGGTCAAGGCAAAGTCCAGATAAAATCCCATAGAAATGCGACAGGAAATGAAACAAGCATTTAATACTAGAAAACACTAAAATGTTACAGAGTTGAAGCAGTCCAGCATAGAGGAAATCCTGCATAGTGAAATGAGAGATTGATCAGCAGTTACAAAAAGTTGCTTACGTTTATTATAGCTAAAGATGGTGCCTGAAATTCCTGAATCTAAGGGACTGGTTACTCTTTTTCACTAGTACATCATAAGTTGGATGACTTTATTTATGAAAGAAATTACATAAGCACCAAACTTTGATGTTATATGTTCACTTAAGCTCCTTTTATCTATTATTATTGTTGTTGTTGTTAGTCACACAGTCAACCAAATGTTTAGACTGGATTTGGCATTTTTGTCCACCTATCGAGTCCTTCCCAAGGACCTGGGATAGGCAGATGTTGTTTAATAAATTAAAGGCATTGTTGCAGGATATAAGCTGTTCCATGTAAAGCTGCCTTTTGCAATTGCCTGTTGGTGACTTTGTCAATGCCAATGGTCTTCAAGTGGTGCTCTGGATGTTTTGGAACTGCACCCAAGGTACTATCTTTCCTTTCTTTTGCCACAGTCATTCTATTTCTATTTGCAGGTCTTTGTATATTGTGATTTTCTCCACTTCTTTCTCTTCTATTCTTCTGTCTCCAAGTGAC